TGGTGGTCAGTGCTGCGGTCTTGTAATCTTGAGGTTGCTGGTTCGAGCCCAGATTGCGTCAGCAAGGGCGTCCAGCATAAAACCAATTGCTAAATCTTTCATGTGAGTTCAGTGTTTCCCCTAGTTAGCTTGCCATGGCGGGGTGCTCATCTCATCCATGACTTTTGCTGATGGGGGGGCGGAGACATGTCTGAGCGCAGCCTGTACTAACAGTTTTTGAGCGGGGGGCGTTCAACATGAGGGAAGAGGCAATGTGAGTGCTGCCTTGGGCTTTTTTGCTAGAGAGCCTGTATTTTGTGCCGCTACCTTAGTGATATGTCGGTGTCGGGTGGAGGTGGGAGGGGCAAGTTCAGTTTTGTTGGCGGGGTGGGGCACCCCACTTGTATAATGGTAGGGGAAACACTGGAGCTCTTTCACTGTGGTGACCCCTGAAGAAGGGAGCAGCAGAAAGAAACTATAATGTGGATGTGCATGTATTACATATATGTATATATATATATGTGGATATATTTATACAAGTGTGTTTTAGGTTTCTTATATCTAGGCTAGATAGCATTTTTATAGGTCACAAAGGTGCAGGACTTGAAGTACTTGGAGTCAACTTTCCAGGAAAATGGGGAGTGTGGTAAAGAGGTGAAGAAGAGAGTCCAGGCAGGATGGAGTGGATGGAGAAAAGTTTCAGGAGTGATTTGACAAACGGGTGTCAGCACAGGTCAAAGGAACAGTTTACAGGACGGTGGTGAGACCAGCTCTGTTGTATAATCGGAGACAGAGACGTTGACATTTTTGTTGGATTTAACTGGGGCCCTGTGTACATAGTTTCGTTCCACCTCATGTACCACATGTGATCTGGATGACAATAAAGACACCTTGACCTTGACCTTGGTTGACAAAAAGACAGGAGGAAGAACTGCAAGTGGCAGAAATGAAGATGCTGAGGTTCTCCAGGAGTGACAAGAATAACGATACGACCATGAATCTCAGAAGATGCTTAATATCGTCTTGCCTGGCTGCTCAGTTGGATGAAAGAAAAAGCCCGAGTAGAATTTGGATGACAAACATTGTTCCTTTTCCACCAGAACACCAAATGAATGTATAACTCCGGGGCGTCAGTACTAAAACTATCCTAATAATGGTAAAGATACTACAGGAAAACTGTCTAGCATTGTGATGTTTGAAGTGGACTCTACATCCTGTGGACTGTGGCCATGAGGCATTAGTGGATCAACTGGAATCTTATCAGGGAAATTCAATGACTTGATCAGTACTTTGAGCTTTTTGTCGCGCTCCAATAGTTTTTGTATCGTGACGTGCTGGAAGCGGTGTTTTGACGTTAACGTTCGTGCTGTAACTGTTTCAAAGTATCATCCTCACTCTTTGCACCTCATTACATTGTAACAAGATGATGTTACTGATTAATATTGTTCAAGTTACCTGTCAGTGGTTTAAATGTAGTGACCGTAGCCACAGCAATGTGATACAGTTTGTGTCTTTAGTCCAGATACTGTATTATTCATACCTGATGCTGTGACACGGTGTTCCCGCCGCGCTGCAGAGCAAGCCTATTAAAATATACTTTACAGATTAAACACTGTAAATATTTTCAGACATTTGAAAATGTCTCCCATGGGTGTGTTCGACTTGTGTGCGTCTTGAATAAAATGAACATATTCTCGTCATTCCTTTTAAATGTCAGACATTGAAGCTCTTTCAGTGTGTGGTACCAGTCAGTTCTCCTTTAGGTGGACTCCTCCATACTCTGATGTCTGAAAAAAATCAACTCGACTACAAAAACGTACTAATTGGAGCAGCATTAATGTCTGCAGTGGGTTCTGTCCTCCTCAGGTGTGTCTCTTCCTCGCAGTGCACACTTGTTATTCCTGTACCTGAAAGTTCTTGCTGTACTAGCAGCGGTCATTGTTTTCCTGCAGAAATGTTGAGATGCATTCCTGCAGCTTCACATTCTTTTAGCGAGCTGTGCTTTGTTGCAAGTCTCCTACTTCATTGAGACGAGTTGAAGTGGAATGGTAAATATAGGCAGAACTGCGTGTGCTACCACAAAAACAGAAAAGGCTCTGTTGGATTCTTCTGTATTTCCTCAGGCCGGTTGGTTTTAATAAAGTCCAACTGCATGCTAAATCTACCTCCTTTTTTTTTTTTGCTGGTTGCGACTGCCCACTTTTTAAGTTTGCAATCATTTTAGATGAGTCGGTGTTAGTCTGTATATGCAGATAATTTGTCATCAATAGTCCTTATCAAGAACTGTGACCAGGAAATTGATTGCAGCCAGAAATCTTATTATTATTTATTTATATGTTTAATTTTCACCCGTGTTCCTTTTTTTCCTTCTTGTTCTTTCTCATTCCTCTATCTTCTAACTCCCTCTCTCAATCTCACTCTCTCCTGCATCTTCTTATTCTCTCTCTCTCTCTCTCTCTCTCTGTGCTCCTGGAGCGGAGGATGCCAGGGGGACAGAGTGCAGATAGGACCCGTTGCCATGGCAACAGCTTCTGCAAGCTGCTGACACCCTACTGTGGGGTGGTGAGGACCGAGAGGAGGAGAGGTTGCGATGGGGAGGTTTAGTACAAGGGTTGGGGCACAGGGAAGGTTTGTGTGCGTGTGCATGTTTGAGGGGTGGGGGTCATTGATGGGAGAAAAGAAGGAGAGAAAACTGTACAGAGAAAGGGAGGGGTGGCGAGGAGAGAGAGAGAGGAGAAAGAGGCAGCCGACCCGGCTCCTTCCCCAGGGATTCAGTGGCCTGCTCATGTTCACAAGCAGAATTAGCATAAAAAGGAGGAGGTGTGTTTGTGTGTTTCAGTTCGCGTGTCAGACTCAGAATTCACAAAGAGCAAAGTATTTGTGTACACGCGTGTAATTGGACAATTTCATTGCCGTCCAGGCGTACAGTTTGTGTCACATGGCTGCAGTGCGTTGGTTAGGTGTGCGTGCTGGTGGATGTTCAAGAGTGCGTATTTGTTGGAGCGTCTACCTCCCCTGGGTCTTAACCCCCCCTCCTCCCTGCTCCCGCCTGCCTGCGGTCCTCCCCTGTCTGTCTCTGTACTGAAGGACTGCACTTTATGAGCCTGTGATACAACTCTTTGTGTGTCTGTGTCATATTTATTTTTTGTGCTTGGCTGCTGGTGTGTTTTTGTCCCGCCTTGCTTATGTAAGCACACATGTGTCTACTTCTTAGCGGATGGTTAAGAATGCAGTTATATCATCTTTAACTTGCAGGCTGAATCATTCTTTTTGTTTCTCTGCGCACCCCTCCACACACACACACACACACACACACACACACACACACACACACACAC